TTCAGTTAAGTGTTGATGTGGCACGTAAATTAGCCCTACAAGATTTACGAGTTTTTATCACAAATGGTCTCTACAATTGACTTACACCATTAAGATGGTCTCTGAAATTGACCTATACCATCAAGATGGTCCCTAAAATTGACAATCAATTAATGTAGTCCGAAAATATGTGTCACAAATTAATATGATCATTCCGCTACAATTCTGTAAAAAAAATTTGTTATGTGCTTATGTGGGTTTTATAATTAATTAAAAAAAGTTGTCTAAATACCTTTTTGCATAATAGATTTTTTTTTTTTTTCCTTATAGTAGGATCTACTCTGAAAAGAGATCTTTTCCATAAATTCTTAAAGGCACAAGGCTTAACAAAGGTGTAAGAAGGGGTTTGGAAATAGTTTTCAACCAACAATAGATGCACCTCGGTTATAATCTCATTATCTAAAGGCAGACATTGCCATTCTTTGATTCACCAGACCACTAGGGAAGCGTTGAATAAGCTCTTCAAGATTAAGGTTGTGAGGATGTTGACCATGTAGATGTTAACGGTGATGTCTTCGAAGTCGTTGTCAATCAGCCAAGTCGTCACCAAAGATGATTTCGATCCAAGTTCAATTTGATGAAGGGTGTCGAGGAATGTGGACTGAGATCAGAGGTGATTGCAGGACTGGGTTTTTGGGTTCACAACTTTTTATTTACTATTAAATTATTAAACTTATTTGTAATTTTTTAATTTAATTGGACTTGTGTGATCTACTTATGTGTCACATCAACACATAACAAAAATTTTGACAGAATTGTGACTGAAAAGGTACATTGATTTGGGACACTTATTTGCGGGATTATATTGATCGATTTTCAATTTCAGAGACCATTTTGATGTCGTGGGTCAATTTCAAGGATCATTTGTGATAAAAAAAAAAAAAGGACTTATGAGACTTATTTATATGCCATATCAGCACTTAGCGGAATTTTTAACAGAATTGTGACGGAATGATCATATTGATTTGCAACATCTATTTTCAAGGACTACATTAATTTTCAATTTCAAGGACCATCCTGATGGTGAAGATAAATTTTAAAGACTATTTGTGATAAATATCCTAATTTTTTTTATAGTATGCATGATATAGGTATATTACAGGACTGAATCTTAAAAACAGCCTAGGTTTTTGGACCTGAATCTAGATGCCTATATATACGGTTGGAGTAACTTTTTGAATGTGACACATACAAACGAACTAGACGTGATTGTTAAATACAGTAAAACCTTTCTATGGGAATAATCTCCAACTAATTATAAAATAATTAGACGTAACTTTGGTCAATTAGCCTATAGAAATAAGCTTCACATGTAATAAGTTATAATTTTTTCAGGTATCATCTTAGGAAACTTGTCTCGACATAGTAATACTTTAAGATGAAGTACACTATTTCTAGAGAGTTGTCTAGAAAATTATATATTTATTATAAATAATATCAAGTCTTTGAACTTGCAAGTAGGTAATAATTCATCAACGTAGACAACTTATTATATTGAGGCCAAAATATTTATAACTCAAGAACTTTGGTAATAAAGAGAGCACTACATACATACATGCACTCTTTTTCAATGGCTACGTCTTGGAAATTATCATGCTTCACTAAAGAAAAGGTTGACATTTGAAGGAGCTTTTGTATATAATTTCATCTCTCTCTCTCTAACCCTATGATCATTTTAACATAGACGCGGCTATTTGAATTTTTTATACAAGCAGGAAAAATCAAACTTAGAATATGATCTTATACAAAGATAAATATTTTTAGCTAATTGAACTACAGTTCTTACATAAATAGTGTTTTATGCGACTGGCAGTAGGTAAGAAAGATTCCTAATGCATTTTCATATATCACACAATCAACTAAAACAAAACTAAAAATAATATATGTAAGTGAACATCCATTGAAGAGCAACGCATAATTAACCATAAAACTGCTCTGTAGCACCATGGATAAATGATTCCACCAACATGAAGATGCTTGGGCTGGGCATGATATCAAATCGATGATAAGCTTGTATCCATGCATGCAGACCAATTGGCATAAATGATATATATGCTTCCTCTATTTTATTTTTGGAAATATTTTCACTGTCAATTATCATACATCTTCCGGTACAATTTCTTCCACAATCACTAAGGTAGCATGGCCAACCTTCTTCCTCAAAGAGAGAGCTAAGCTAGCTGCATCAACTCCATCTCCAATTATTACCATCTGGTCTTTCTTTTCCTCGTTGAAAGCCACTGAATTAACACCTGCAAATATTACATATAAACGAATTTCGTTCTTAATCCCCGTAAAAATTTGATTACGTTTCATAGTCTTTTTTTTGTTGTAAATTACTAAAGTATAGAATAAAATTTGCTAGAGAAGAAAACGTAAAAAATATGAGCAATAGTAGTAAAGGCACCACCATCAGCGACGGCAGCTATCTTCATGGCCTTGGCACGACATCTTCTGCTTCTCATTTGCACCTCGATGACAATCTTTTGCTGCGCAGTTAATTAAAAAAAAAACAATTCATTAAGTTTAGTCATACATAACACTCGCTTGGTACGACAGAACCGTTTCCTTTTAGCCTTGGTGCTGAAATAACATTAATAAAAGTAGGCTTCAGACGTTTAATTTGATCGAAACGAACTCACAAGTCTTTCAATTCATAATGAAAAAATCAAAAGTGATCAAATCTTTTTCTATGAATAAAAGAAAAACATGGAGAATTTTAAACATTAAAGATTAAAATTAAAAATATAGTGCACTTAAGGAAACGATTCACTAGTTTCTCTTATCACATAGGAAAATCATCATCAAACTTATTATGACAATCACATAGATCAACAACGGAAAATCAACACGCACGCGTGCATGAATGTCTATCTTTTGACATTTTATTTTGAACTGACTACTTACCATCATATTGAATCCTACAAAACAAAAATGGCTCTGTCAAGAGTAGAAGTGATTTGTCTAGCAATTCTAGGAAGAAGAAGATGAAGTAGAATTATTTGTTCGATCTCTTTATATATATTTGATGGCGCCTATTCTCAAATCGCAAGTAATCAACATGTGGTTTTGTACATAACGCTGGCGATCCACTTTTTGTGGGTACAAAGTATATGCACCGCGTTTCCACATAAGCCAAATAGCAAAGAATTCTATATATGCTTATGACTCTTTTCTGCGATTTGCTTAATCATAACTTAATAGAGTCAATTACTAAAGCACCTCATCAACACTTGTACTAAAAGCTAACCACAAGATGATGAGTGAATCTTATTATGTCACTGTTATGATCTCATGCATGACGTAATAAAATATAGAAAATATGGATTAAATAATATCTTGACACGTTGGATAGAACTGTTGTAGCCTATTTTATCTGACAAAGAGAAGGGGGCCGACGGCAAGGAGAGAGATTGAGAGAGAGATGTGTTTGTAGAATCGAAGGGGAATGTGTGTTGTTATTCCTTTCTACGTAGTGCCTTTACTTATAGTAATAAGGGAGAGAAGAAATCCTTCATCCCCAAGGAATACAAGTTCATATAGGAAAAAATAACTAGAATCAAATCTAATCTAGGATTTACACAATCACACATAAACTAGGAAAGTTTACAACACTCCCCCCTGAGTGTGTAAATACTCAAAGTGGATTCAGCATCATGTAGAAGTTGAGGAAGTCAACTTATCGGCACTGATCCTAATGAACAACATTATTCTCAATAAGGTAGGAAATTGCATAAGGAAGTAAGTCCCACTAAAAAACCCTAAGGCAATGGCAAAAACCTGAGGAGGGACAAAATCCATTGTCGGAAAAATGCGTGAGAAATGCAAAGTCAAAAGAAACGTCTATGAGACGTCATCTAGGATATGACCAGCCAAAGATGGGTGCCAATCTAGAAACCCGGAGCTTACAAAGCTCTCTCGACATGCCTCTCTTCCAAATGACAAAAATGCTGAAATGAGCTGAGGGTTTTTAGTATTTATACGTGAGAATTTTAGTAATTTGGATTTTGTGCATAGTGTGCATAACTTATGCATGGTTAGTTTGTCCTATTTCTGCCTCAAGATTAAGAAAAAGGTCTATTTCTATCTATTTCCCCTTCTTTTTATATTAGGCAACAATGGCATTCCTAACATCACAAACAACGTTTCTAAGGATTGTCGACCTCTCAAAGACCTCTCCTTGACTCTTAGATCTAACACTTGAGAACCGCTCTCAAACAAAAGATTTGTGTTGAGGAATTATTTCCTAGCCAACAGTGGCATTGCTTCGGCCGTCTTAATTTTGCAATAAGTATTATAGTGAATCGGAGAGAACCTTCAAATAGTTATGGGCTTGCCCTTGTGGTTCCTATTACATGTATTTGTAGAATTGATGGGTAGGCTTAGTCGGAGAAGGATGATACAACAAAATATTTCTTGACCCATATATAGTAGATTTAAAATTACTAAACGAACAAGTCCTCATGTAATGTATTTTTTTCCAGAGGATCCTCATGCAATGTTTTATCGTTAATGTTTTATAAGGTTATCAATCATACCAACAAGTAATGTTACCTGACTTATGTACATAGTATATTTCCTACAAGAAGCCATTTATTTTTCGTATACAACCTCTTTTACACTAAATGGTGGGAGATTCAGGCTAAATCTCACAATAAGTTAAACTAATAAATTAGTACGAACAAACTATTTACAAATGTAACCTAAGATGTCTCATTGACAAATAAATTGAAGTGAAATACCACTAGATTATAGAACAAGTGTCAGGAGTACATATAGTTTTCTTGACATGTAGCAACTAGCTGAAGCAAAACACAACACTAGAAAAATATGAAAAGATCAATACGCATCAACGAAAATAAGGTAATAAAATGTTAAGGCATAGCTATGCAATGTAATCTTAACAAACAAAGGAATTTCGTATAGCACATTTGGATTCTTAGTTGCTTAAGTACCCAAGACCTGATCCCCATCATATTACCAATGTGAGATTAAGATATTGCAAGCTAAAGGTCAACCACCATGTCAAAATGATCACCTGATCTTGTTAAATTTTAAATATGTTAGATTATCAAAACTGCGAAATTCATTTAAAATAAGATTATGACTTCCAAGCAAACAGCCCCTTCCCTGAAATGATGAAAGTTCCCCCTACAAAATGGTGCTAGTACTCCTTGGTGGTGGGTCACTGATGTAGAATTCCAACTGCTGAGGATGGTGAGATAAAAAAATTTCTCCTGGAAGTGGAGTAGTAACATATGCATGTTCAGTTTTCTTTTCTCATTCAGGTGCACTTTTCTTCTGCGGTTTCATTTCGGTTATTTCTTCTACACTCAGCAAGTCTGCATAGCCAAGCTTCTTCCTCAATGACTTGGCCAGCCGCGCTGCGTCAACTCCGTCTCCAGTAATCACCATTTGATCTCTATTGGCCCCCTTAAAAGCCATTGATATTACACCTGCAAGATTATATACAATTGAAAAACATTTTATCATGCAATACTTAACAAATTCGATTAATTTAGCTTACAATATTTTTCTTTCGTTTTGTACTTTGTTGATCAAATTAACATGAACGCCTGTATTTTAAAGAGTAGGAAACACACCGTCTTCTGTAACAGCTATTTCCATGGCCTTGGACCGACATTTTTCACATCTAAACTGCGCCTCAATGGTTATGGATTGCTGTAGTAGATCATGCAACCAACCAAACAAACATGTCGTAATCAAGTTATGAATATCAACCATATGAACTAAATTTGTAAACTTTCTAGGGTTATTAGACCAGAAAATCTTTCCAAAAGAAATGAAGAAAAGAGTTCATTATTTCCCGAGAAAATCAAACTATCTGTAGCTATAAAGTAAAAACAAAAAAATGTATCTTTGATAGTAGTGTATTTACGTACCTTCATATTCTTCACTGGTATTAGTACTGAACAAAACCAAAATTTTGGGTTTTCCAAGAAGATCCAACCTTATGGATGGATGTTCTAATTCTGTGAGAATGTGAGTGATAAGTAAATTGATGAGGTTTTTTTATTATAACGTCCACCGTTCTAGAATGGTAGTGACAGCCACAGCTACACGTGATTTCATCTGATGAAAATCACCTTGACGAGCAAATTGCGATCCGCATTTGGTGGATTGAATGTACACTGGTGAACCTTCAGACGAAGACACACGGTTTGCTTACTCATTTTCTATAATTTAATAAGACGACTTCGAAAGTCAATTGTAACAAGTCAATTGGTAACTTAGCAATTTAAGTAACAAGTCAGCACAGCTATCGTACAAAGAGTATTAGGTAAAATACTCGGAAAATGCATCACATGCTAGGAAATTAGTATAATCAATAGTGTTGCATTTGTTCTAATATTTTAGTGGATACGGTGTTGAGTTTTTACCTATGCATTTTGGGTAGTTTTGAACTCTAATCATCTTCCTTTACTCATAATAAATATTTTTGTTTTAAAAAACAGTATAATCAAATGTGTACAAGCCCAGCTATTTTTGCCGCTCAATGTGATAGCTTGCGTCACACATTCCGTTCGCTAATAACATAGTTTAGGATTATGCCCATTTAGTAATGGATTTTAATGATTCAAACTGTATATGTTTTAGTACATTATTAAAAAATCTTCATTACAAAATTTAGACAAAATAAAACCATTAAAACATTTATTTGTAGTGAAGATAATGGACAAATATAGTTCTATAAAGAAACACTAAATTTGATCGAACAATTATATGTTTTTGCATTTGAGTGATGTCTGATATATATGATCTTCGAAGTAAGATATGAAAGTTAAACGGTAGGATCGTTGAATTACATTACAGAGTAGGCCCTACAAAAGCATATATCAAAATGTGTGTCAAAAGCGTATGTCTCTGGATGCTATCCTATATATACACTCATTAGACTAACGAGTATATATATAATTAACCATTTGAGTAACTACTAGTACACGTACTAGGCTCGCTCCACAATATACTCTCATCATCTAACCCGTTCTTTTTAGGGTCTTTGTTCCTATATCATCCTCGCAGAAACTCACTCAAATAAAAATCATTCAACCTTTTATTACTCGTGTGAACATTTCGTGGTTTATTGTCAATACTGTATTAATCTATTTTGTAGGTATAAACTAAACGTCTTTCAATTTGAGTGAAATTTTTGAAAAAAGATATGTTAGTGATAACCTAGCTTTTGGGAAGTATTATGCAATGGGTCTGGACGAGTATTAAGTTACTACCTCATTTGAGCTTGAATACCCAAATTTGCTAGATATTATTAAAATAGTCCACTTATAAAGATTTTAAAAAGTAATATATTGTCATTTAGTACTACGGCCTAATGTTATTTCTCTTCACTTGTAAGTGAAAGGTTTTAGATTCGATTCTCGTCGAAGGCGAAGTTGAACCATATTATTGTGGCAAGTCTATTGTAAGGCTTAGCCTACTCCCCACCCCCTTAGTGCATATATTATCGTTTGTTAAATAAAAAAAAAATTATATATATATATATATATATCTCTCTCTTAAAACATAAGATAATACTAGAAATTAAATTCCTTCAACCCCTATATCATAACTATTTTATTCAATTAATATCTCTATGTTGTAGATTACTAATATTTATGTATCTATATCACATGTTTTTTTTATTTTTTATAATCTATCTATATAACAAATAAATTGTTTTTGGCTACGCACCTGTATTATGGATTTTTTTGCTTGTAATCTACCTCTTTCAGAATTAGTTTTATTCATTTCTGTCTTAAATATATGTCTCTCAATTTTTTGGGTTTTTATCACCAATGGTCTCTGAAATCTATCCTTACCATCAACATGGTCTTTAAAATTGAAAATCAATTAATGTAGTCCTTGAAAATAGATATGTTACAAATCAATGTGGTACTTCCGTCACAATTATGTTAAAAATTCAGTTAAGTGTTGATGTGGCACGTAAATTAGCCCTACAAGATTTACGAGTTTTTATCACAAATGGTCAATAAAATTGACTCACACCATTAATATGGTCTCTGAAATTGTCTTATACCATCAAGATGGTCCCTAAAATTGAAAATCAATTAATGTAGTCCAAAAATATGTGTCGCAAATTAATATAATCATTCCGCTACAATTATGTAAAAAAAATCTGTTATGTGCTTATGTGGGTTTTATAATTAATTAAAAAAAGTTGTCTAAATACCTTTTTGCACAATAGAATTTTTTTTTTCCTTATAGTAGGACTTACTCTAAAGAGAGATATTTTCCCTAAATTCTTAAAGGCACAAGGCTTAGCAAAGGTCTAAGAAGGGGTTTGGAAATAGTTTTCAACCAACAATAGATGCACCTTGGTTATAATCTCATTATCTAAAGGCAGACCTTGCCATTCTTTGAGTCACTAGACCACCAGGAAAGTGTCGAATAAGCTCTTCAAGATTAAGGTTGTGAGGATGTTGATCACGTAGATGTTAACGGTGATATCTTAAAAGTCGTTGTCAATCAGCCAAGTCATCACCAAAGGTGATTTCGATCCAAGTTCAATTTGGTGAAGGGTGTCAAGGAATATGGACTGGGATTTGGTGAAGAGGTTGACCAGATTGTCTTGTGAACATATTTGCGTGACTTCGATCTTCTAATGCTCTTGTTGTTGATGTGAGAAGAATAATTTCGGCGCAATGTACTTGGTGTTGTCTCCTTTGAAGTAACCCTTCTTAAGTTGTTCGATGCATGCTGCGTTGTCTTCATAGATCGTCGTCGGGACATCAACGGCAGGGTAAAGATTACAGGAGCTTTGAATATGGCCCACAACTGCTTTCAACCTAAAGCATTCCTGAGTTGCTTCATGTAACGCGAGAATTTCAGCATGGTTAGACGAAGTGGCAACTAAGGTTAGTTTAGTTGACCACCAAGAGATTGCGGTGCCTCCAACAGTAAAGACATAAACCATTTGAGAATGCGCCTTTTGCTGATCAGGTAAGTATCCTACATCGGCATAACCAACAAGGTGAGAATCGACTCAAGAAGCATAGGGTGCAACATCACTCAAGGATCAGTAAGGATAGAACAAGCCCAAATTCATAGTATCCTTAAGGTAGCAGAAGATGTCTCCTTAAGGTAGCAGAAGATGTCTTTAACACCAGTCCAGTGTTTGCGTGTTGGTGCATTACTGTATCTTGGCAAAAGATTAACAACGAAAGAGATGTCAAGTCTAGTGCATTGAGCTAAGTACAATAAAACGCCAATCGTACTTAGATAAGAAACTTTAGGCTCTAAAATCCCTTCACCGTCTTCTTTCGAATGGAAGGGATCTCGTTTTGCATCTAGCGATCAAACGACCATAGTAATACTCGAAGGCTTCGCTTTATCCTCATTAAAATGGCACAACACCTTCTAGGGTGTAGTTCGATTAATGTACTAAGATTCCATCTTAACAATGCTTTATCTCAAGACCAAGACAGTATTGAGTCTTTCCTAGATCTCTCATCTCAAATTCCGACTTCAGGTGCTCGGCAGTTCTCTCGAGCTCTTTAGGAGTTCCGATAAGATTCATGTCATTGACAAATACTGCAACTATCGCAAAACAAGAATGTGACTTCTTAATAAACACACAAGGGCATAATTTGTTATTAATATATCCCTAACTAGTCAAATACACCACATTCTTTTGGTTTACTTCAAACCGTAGAGTAAACGCCTCAGCCGAATTGAGAGTGTGTTCCGGGGTTTGGAAATATTTGATCCAGTCCATGTAAGTCCTTTAGGAACTTTCATATAAATTTCCATATCAAGATCCCCATAAAGATACGCAATTACTACATCCATTAGCTACATACTCAGTTTTTCGAGAACTACCAAACTGATAAGGTAGCGAAAAGTAATCACATCCATAACAGGTGAATAAGTTTTGTTATAGTCAATCCTGGGGCGTTGTGAGAAGCCTTGTGCAATAAGACTAGCTTTGTAATGCACAATTTCGTTCTTCTCATTCTGCTTCCAAACAAAAACCCATTTGTAGCACATGTGGATAAGTATGAGCTACAGGTCCAAACATCTTACGTTTCGCAAGCAAATCGAGTTCAACTTGGATTGCTTGTTTCCGTTTTAACCAATCAATTCTACGTCAACATTCATCAACAGAATAAGGTTTAATGTCATCGCTCAACATGATCTCAGTAGCTACAACATATGTTAATGCTTCGTCGACGATCATCTCATTTCTACACCACACATCATCTAAGCTAGCATAATAAACCGAAATCTCACGATTCTCGAAAGGAGGATTCATCTCTTCAAGGACACTTCCATAATCTAGAATTTCCTCATGAGTTGGATAGCATAAGTAAACGACAGTCGGATTCACGGTTGGCTCTTCAGGGCCTTATGTCAGTGGGTTTCCTCTTCTGGAAGTGTGAATGCTTTGAACCAAGAGGTTTGCCTCGCTTATATGTAGGAGCAAATGATTGGCTAGCCACTAATGTACGTGGATCACCAAAGTTGCTGTCCCAGGCTTCCAGGAGAAAAGTCTCTCATACATTTGGTACATTTATCTTTGCAGGTGCATTCGCAGTTGGAATATGTGATCTTGTCACTCGCACTAGATCGGTAAAAGCATATGGCATGCTCTGAGCTATGCTCTGGAGATCTAATATGCGCTGTACTTCAGTTTCAGACTGAGCTGTGCAGGGATCTAAATGAGACAAAGTGGGAGTTATCCACGATAATTCAGTGTCATTCTTCAGGAACCTTGACATTCTTATCTCCCCTAACAACTGGAAGACTGTCTCATAGAAGTGACAATCCGCAAAATGAGCGATAAATAGATCGTCTGTCAAAGGTTATAAGTAATGAATAATCGATCGCGAATCATATCCGTCATAAATTCTCAACCTTCGCTGAGGCCCCATTTTTGTACGTAAGGGCAGCGAAAATCGGCACATAGATCGCATAACCAAAAATGCGTAGATGCGATATGTCAGGTTCTTATCTAGTAACCAACTGAATGACACTATATGGTTGTGTTGCAACAGGCCTCAGGCGGACCAACTTAGCTGCGTGCAATATTGCATAGCCCCAAGCAGCGATTAGGAGTATGGTACGTATGACCAACGATCGAGTAATCATTTG